TGATTTTTTAAGTCATATTTTCTTACAGCTCTATCCAAGAGTACATCCTAAGAAGAACTCTGAATGACATCTGGAGCTCCTTTCAAGAAATTAGCCTTGGTAAATTTGACAGAACTTGTGGTACATGAAGAGTTTTGTCCTTTGTGATCGCTTTGAAATAGAAACTGATATTCTTTGGTTTCAAATACAGAAGCTTAAAACCAATGGCCTTATTTTCAAATAAAATTTTGATATCTAGCAATAATTCACAAATATTTGTGAAAAAGATAAGATGGCATTTGCATAAAATAAATATCCAGACTATGCAGAAAAAAGTTTTAAACTTTTCCTTGCATATCAGTCACAAACTCTTGGCCTCAGAAGTTAATGGGATCAAAATTACACTAAGAAAATCTTTGTTTCATTTAATTTAGAAAAAACGTTTTTATGTTTCTTGTCACCTGTTATCTAATATTTATAACTTGGGAACATTCTTATTGGTTTAAAACTTTATGAAATTTTTGGAATATTCATTATCACTACACATATTTATGATTGTAATTTAAAACTGCTGATAAAACTCCCTTAAGTACAGAGCATGCTTGAGCTTCTTCAAAATTCTCAAATCATGTCATTTAATGACATCTTGTCAATATGGCCTCGCTTCAAGAATAGCTGTACTTCACCAAATACACCAGCCAGCTTAACACTCCTCTCTTTCCCAGTATTTCATCAACATAAATTTTTAATAGAATTTTAATTCTATCTGTCTGTAGCTCAGATTGTTGATCTGATATGACCAAATTTGTGAGATTTATGATAGTATATATGTGTAACATAGTATAAAGTGCAAAATTAAATTTCCATATTTTTTGTAAGCAATTTGTATTGAGATGAAATTGAAATACTATTAGTCTTTTCTCTGAAATTTATTCTTGCAGATTTTTATTTTGTCTTATTTTGCAACTACATGTAGTAGTTTCTTCAATGGACAGTACAAAGTTTTTTTTCAATTCAATCATTGCACTCTGTATTCACCGCATTGAACTTGTAAAGTTAGTTTTTGTCATGGAATTGTCATATCTTTTCTTGTCAAAGCTTCTGTAAAACGCTAATAACTTAAATTTTCAAACTCTTGCCTATGGTCAAATGAACCAATTGAAAAGAGCTGCCATGCTGTTGCTTATGTTCTGCCAAAGAATGACAGTTCTTACTTGTTTTATAATTTTAAAATATAAACGTGTGAAGAAACTGATGTGCCTTTATAAAAAAAATTATGTAAAAAGTGTACATAAGATGAATTGAATACATGTATTGATTTTTATTGTAAAGTTGTGAATAATAAGTTTTCTATACAATTTTATCTTCAAATATTAAATAAGGCTGTTGATAGTAAGAACTATATTTTTACCTAATAAGAGACTTAATTCATACTAGCTGTGCTAGTCATTCAATGCTACTTTTTATGAATAAGTTGGAGGTATTTTGTTACTTTCGTAAGATTGTGGTCTGATGATATTCAGCCTACAAAACTGTCATTAAATATTTAGATAGTTTGACCGAATTTGTGATCCATCATTCAAAAAGATAAATTACATAAAATGGTAATGACAGGTGCCCGTCCTGAGGGCAAAACCCAGTATCTTAAGGTGAGAACGAATAGTGTAAAATTAAACATATCACACTCTGTGACAATGCTCATTATATACGTGTTT